CAGTATCCTCTACAACTTCCCCGAATGCGCGTCATAATAATCCAGTTACAGTTTTGACCCAACAACAAGTAAGATTTCATAGAAACACATAGATTTTTTGTTGATACTCTTACATGTATTTCTTTTCTAAATATTTCCTTCCAAATTTAAACATCTATGTAGCTTGTTTTATACAAAATATAGAAAATACGTAAAGAAAAACTCATTCTTATTGCAGTTGCAGCAATTACAACAGTTACAAGCCCAGAATAGCAGTGGCCAGTCGCTAACATTTGCTTTGCAACAGACATCAAATAATGTAAGCTATTTTTGTTGGCGAACACATTCTGTCATGAATGTGATTTTGAAGAATGTCGGTGTTCTAATGTCACCGCTTGTTCTTGCAGCCACAAGAGCAAGGAAATGGGTCAGCAACTGGAAATCACATAGTCTACGTAAATCAGTTGAATCAATTGAATCAGAGTACCATAAATCCCTCGGGGACTGGTATGGGCCTACCCCCGGCCACCCCCACTTTTGGGGTGGGCCTTAATATGGGATTGCCACTATCACTATCACTAAATACCAGTCTTACTTCTCTCACGTCCAATGTTATCACCACATCAAATCCTCTGCTGAATTTGGGCTTGCCGAGTATAAGCACAGGGCTAACCGCGATAAATCCTAGCCTGAATCAATTAAATGCTATCAACTCCAACATTGGCTCAAACAGTATTAACAACAGTTTGTCCAATTTGGGACAAGATTTGAATAGCATTAATACGGGGGTTAATACCGGGATAAACAGGCTCAATACGATAAATTCCACGAATATTAATTCTGGGCTATCTGGAGTAAGCGCTGGACTGACCGGTCCAAATCTGACGAGTCTAAACTCATCGAGCGTGAATCAGAATCTTGCTACGTTGAATACCAATTTAACCGTCGCGAATTCCGGCGTATCAGCTTTATCTGCTATTAATCCAAATACGAATTTGGCTACCACTAGTATAAATTCTGGTGTGAATCAGGGTCTTAATCGACCTGCAAATGCTCTGGCAACTGGTCTGACGCCAACTAGTTTGAATTCCAGCAGTACACAATTTCCATTCCAAACGATACAGAGCATTCAGACTATTGCACCACACATCGTTGCATCGTCAAATATAGCACATGTACCAAACTCTGCTATATCGCAACATCCTAATTCGAACATCTCAACAATCTCACAAATCTCTAACTCCGGAACTCTGACGAGTTCCAGCATATTCACGAGCACTCCGAGCGAATCGATTCATGCGACCACTGCAAATGTGAATCACGCTTCAAACGTGAATCTCACTACGAACATACCGCACCTTGGTACAATGCACCCTAATTTATCAAATATATCGACGTCTAATGTACAACATATATCCGCATCCAATGAACCGACTATGTCATTGAGTCATGTTTCTTCTTTAAGTTCCTCCCAGTCGACTGGATTTCAACCACAGCGACAGTATTCACAGGGGATAAGCCCCGGGTTAAATGCGTCAGTAGCATTAACAGGCACAACGCAACCGTCGAATGTGGTCAGTACTATGAATACCGTTAAGTCTATGCAAAATATTCAAGGTCAAAACATTAGTTCACCGGGCAGCCCGTTTTCAATACCCTTGAAAAGTCCAGCGTCTAATATAGCACCACCTACGCCGAGTCCTAGCCCTAATCGACTTTTACTTAGAAGTCCGGCTTCTAACTCGATACAGTCCAATCGGAATAGTCCAAGCCCGGTCAACACGTCGACTTCGAACAGTAACTTTAACATGCAGATGCAAAGCCCCATGCAGAGTCCGATGAGCGTTAGCCAAATACAGAGCCCTGTACTTAGCCCGTATCCCCCTGCAAAAAGCCCTCATCTATTAAGCGGGAATAATTCTCTCAACAATAGAAGCCCAGCACCTGGCGGTAGCCCTGGTCCACCTGTGGTAAGAATACTTATAAAAACGTAGAAACTTCAATTCTACTCTATCTGCTTATTGAAATTTTATTTGTTTGCAACACTGTATATTTACCGTATAAGATATATTTTAGTGATTTTGTTAGAATACCCGTTAATATCTCAATTTCATCTTTTTCTTTTATTGTTTTATTTAAAAATGAATAGAGAATATTTACATTATCCCGCTCAGAAATTGGAGAGCTTTATCTCATTTTAGTTTAACGTATATCTCTTGTAATTTGTTATAATTATGTTCAGATGACTACAGCCTATCTTTTTTTCGTGTACTGTTACCTATCTATTTCGCTTATTTCCTATAAAAAAAAGGAAATGTGTCTTTAATAATGCAAGATTAAATTATCTATTTATCCATACATTCTTTTATTTTTCACGTGTTCCAGGTTAGGCCTAATACACCCATACTACAGCAAGGAATGCAGGTGTTACAAATAATTCACGGTACACCACAGGGTTATCAATCTACCCCTACCCAACTGGTGACTAGAACCCAGTTATTTGGAAATCAACAGATACAAATAGCGGCGGGTAAGCCCACCAAGCAACCACCGCAAATTTTGCCAAAACCACCAAATCAGCAAATTTGTAATGCTTCTCAACAAAAGTCGCAAAGAGTTACCACTACAATTACAAATCAGGTACGGTCTTAGTTTTAATCTTATTTTTAATTGCTACATCTCGAATACTTTACTTAAATAATTTATATCACATAGTTAAGTAGATAAATTGGACATGAATCATGTATTAAAAAAATAATGATATTACATCTAACATGGCATTCAGTATAATTTAACTCCAAATCTATTCCATATAAAATATACAATAATCTATATAAAATTGTTCTTTTCTTCAATCTGTTATACGATACTAAAAATAAAAATAAAATATAAAAGTAATTCAAGGTTCAGTAAATAAAAATCAAAGGAAATAAAATAAGCTGATGAACCGAGCTAGTTCTTAGTGTTAATTATCGTCATCTAAATAATGTTTTGTCATCTAAATATAAATATAAATATAAATATGAAATGTCAAACTTGTCAACTTGTAATCGTCTTCAGTGCGTTAATAATGAGCAATGGTAATTTGGACAATAAGTCATTGAAGTCAAAACTCAAAACTAGCTTGGCTGATTAGCTAGTTTATTAACTTTTTCATCTATTTTATTTTTTTATTAAAAAAATACATCTTGCTTCTCGATGTCTTTACCATGGGTTCCATTTGTCAATTTCACGTTGTCTGGACTGCTTTTGGTGAGTTGATTTTATTTCTCTTTGTCAGTTAGATCCAACTTTTATTTCTCCGATTATTTGGCAGACTATGTGAATAGTCTAAAATTAGCAAAATTTTATTAGTATTTTTTCATGAAAATTACACCTGTCTTTGACTATTCAATGAAATGCTCACCTGAGGCTCGTCGGAGAGCGTGAGATTATTTAATTTATCTGTCACCGCTTTGCTGAAGAACCGTACGATTTAAAATTTTGTATTAAATAATTAAATATTACATAACATTTATTTACGCACAATCGTGTTTGAATCTCATTTTTTCCTTGTTTATTGTTAATTTCAATAGTCGAGAGTCTTTAGCTAACTTATTTGAAAAAAAAAACCATATTTTAATGCTGTTTATAATTTTTTTAAAATGTATTTTACATAACATGAGATTTTACATTAAAGTAAATTTCTTTTTCTTTATAGGTAACGCAGCAGAGTCAGCCGCAAATTGTTCTTGCTGGACCACAACCAAGTCCAACTACAGCAACAATGATCCCAACAGCACAGGGTTTGCTACTGAATCAGGTATATTATTATAATAAACTGGTTTGTGTTTCTTAGTTATGTCTATCATCTGCATATTCATTATGTAATTACATGAAAATATATACATCATGAGGTACTTTGATATGCTTCATATTTATTACAACTGCTTATGTGCGTTCTTCTATTGTCATAAAATGTTGCTTCTATGCTTCATATATTTGTCATATTTGGTATATAGGTATTGCCGTCTACCGGACCTGTCATTGTACAGCAGCAGCCAGGAGGCGTTCAACTCATACTAAGGACGCCAGCAGGCGCGCAGCAACAAACGCATACTGCACAGGTGATGGTTTCATCCATTCATGCGCGCATTCTTCATATTGACATTCATATATAATCATCGCTTATTAAATTTTCATGAAGTACTTTTTATGTTTATATCCATTTTTTTTACCTTAATAATTACATAAATTTCAATAATGTTACAGAAGGTAAAGTTATAATTATTTGTCATAAAAAATTACATATTTTACACGAAATAGGTGAGAATACATAGAATACGTATAACAGCCTCTGAGATACTTGCATACAAATTATAGCATGATAAAAAATATCCAATAGAGTAAGAAATGAATTAAATATTTAATTTCTAATTATAGTTAACACAACAGCAATTGGTGAGGGTTGTCACAGCACAAGGTATGCAACTGCAGGGGATTGCGCCCACATTCTTCGCTGTACCCAACGGATTCCCTTCAGCCGCTCCTCCAGTAATAAGGCATACCCCAACTAGTCCTGCGCCAGGTAAGTTACTACATAACAATGTTACAGCAAAAGAAATTATAATTATATTTCAATATCACATACAAATATTAATATATATAGATTAAGTTAAGCAATAGAACACTAAATATTTCTCTTGGTTTGAAAAAATATTGTAGAACGTAATTTATATAAATTAAGAGAACTTAAATTTTTATTTTAGTGTATTTAATTTAAATGTTTAGAAATACGTAAAATCTTCTAAATCTTACGTATCTCTTGTCATGTCTTAAAATGCATGACATTAATCTGTATGTATCATAAGATATTAATTTTTTTCTATATTTTTTAATTTTATAGCTAATTCAGGAACTAGCAATCCCATCGTAATTCAGAATGCTATGGTACAAAGTCCTCAGTCGCAAATCTCACAAGTTACATCTGGTAACACTACTGGCAATGCTTCGTGCACGCAACCTGTCTCCGAACAAAATCTATTGCCGCCTCCTAAGAAGAAAGCGAAAAAGAAGAAGAAAGCCAAACGAAAAGATGACGAACCGAAGTTAGATCTTGCCCGTATCATAAAAATATCGGGCATTGGGGATGACGATGATATCTTTGATTCTGAGTTGACAACTGAAACCGAGGTTCCTTGTCAAACGCAGCAAAGCGAAGTTAATCTCGGGCAACCTCTAGGCCAACTTTCATCGCAAGGAACAGTTCCTGCTAGCCCTACTTTAACTCAAGTACCTGCAACGAACACAACGAACACGCAAGCTCCTGCATCGCAACCACTTAACAATCAGCTTGTCACCCAACTCCAGATGCCTGTACAAAATACGCTAACGGGACAATTTCGTATATCGATTGGAGAAGACGGAAAACAACTTATTTTGCAGCATCAGCCTGAACCCAATCAACCAGAAATGGATGGAGCGACTGCGCAAGCTTTGATACGATCCCTGACTCAAAGTAGCGGACAAAATTCGCAGATTATCTCGCAATTTTTCAGCCAAACGCAAAATACGCCACAGTCCGCTCCAAATACGACCCAGCAGAGGCAAAAGTATGCCAAATCTCCTTTATCTAGTGGAAATCAAGCTTCAGGCAATACTATAAGTTCCACATGCTCGCAAAATGTCATTTGCACTACTAGTCCGCATCATGGCCAGATATGTTCGAAGATTAATCAGCAGAAGAATACAAACGTTCCTCAAGAGACTAATTCGCTACCTAATATCTGCGTTCAAAGTAGCCTCGGACCTTTACAGGAGACGCAAACGTCTAAGAACGTCAATGTACAAAAACTGATGCAAGCTAAGAATGTTCAATCTGCATTGTCACAAACGAGCAATAATACTCCTTTGAATCCCCCAGATGTCTTATCAAAGCCTTCGTCTATGTATGGCATTCAAGGTTCTCGAATATCTAATGCAAGTCAGACGAGTTCCAATCAACAAAATTCCAATCTTTCTCTACAAAAGTCTAGTCAGGTACGACTCATGAACACTTGTGTAACAAATATACGGAAAAATTTGGGAAAGCAGCCAGCGCACCGACAACACGCTCATGTGCAAAAATCATTACCTGGTAGCTCAATAGCACAAAACGACCATATGTCTAAGACTAATCAGAGTCTTCAGCAAACGAATCAACAGGAAACTCTAACATTGCAGCAGGAATCGCCACTGTTTCAACATAATCAACAGATCACTGCGCAAACCGTACAAACTCAAAATGTGCAACAAATATTTGAACAAAACTTACAGAGCTCAAACATTCATCATAATTCCATGAATATATTGCAGCAACAAAGTTCTTGTAACACCATGCAACAACACGATACCATGAATGTTTTACATTCGAGTATTCAACAAAATACGATTAATGTGCTGCAACAAAATACAGCCGGTAATGTTCAGAATATAGAACAAAATTTGTCGGGTATCAAGGATATAGCACACGCGCAGCAGAATGTCATGACCAGTTTGCAACAACAAAATACGTCTGCTGTTTTACACAACACGAGTGTCCAGCAAAATGTGAATGTTCAGCAACAGAAGGTAGTGACAGCAAATACCTTCTCCTCCGTTAATGCACATCACTTCGAGTCTCAGAACTCGGCTAACGTCGTGCAGCAAGGAATCAATACGCAACAAAATAATCAGAATCAGAATATATTGATTACGACCGCTCCTACTTCTAATACCGCCCAGCCGAACGAATCTCAAAATGTCGAAACCCAAGGCGCAAATATATTGAACTCGGCGGCGAACAGCATACTAAATAACGCACCTAAAATCACGCCTGAAATTTTAAATGCGTTGAGAAACTTGAATCCTAACGATCAGCTGCTAATCGCGAACGCGAATGGTCAGATGCAGGTGATCAGTCAGCAGCTCTTGCAACAACTTTTGGCTGGACAGTTAAACGCGACAAATCAGACACAGAATCAAAATCAAACGCAGAAGATAGTGATTGGCGAGCCAGATGCAAGTAATCAGAATCTGCAAGGAGTTCAGATCAACACTCCAACGAGCCAGATAATCGTCAACAGTTCTGGTGGAGCCCCAACAATCCAAAATAATATTCAGAACATCGTGGTGCAAGCTGCACCGTCCCAGATGCCGCAACATATACAAATTCAAAATTCCGGCTTTCCTAGTCAATTTATTGACAATCTAAATCAACAACAAATTAGGAACTTGGGCAACAATCCACCAAAGAAGACGAAAATCGTGAAAAAGACGAAAGTTGCTGTTACTGCTCAAAGCATAAACTCACAGGTATGTAAATGCATTTCTATATCTTCCAATCTGCTTTATCTATTTTTTACTCAATATAAATGATTGTCGATTCTATTCTAAAAATGCGTTAATATTACAAAATGTGCTTTTTACCTCTTATTTACTCTTTTTGTAATTTAAAATCTACTCTTATTTTTTTTTAGACGAAGACAGTAACCGTTACTCGACCAACAATGGTTACGTCCAATTTACAAAAAGTTGACCATACTAATAAAATAAACACGACGGTATCTCATAGTACAAATCCTACTAAGAGCGAACCAACTCAGATCATTGCCAATGGTCCTTTAATTACATCCTCTGCCGGCAGTCACGTATCAGTTCCCTCAAATGGGCAAATGGTACAAAGAGTACAAACTATTCAGCTTCCTGCTCAATTGCAGCAATCGTTGAAGAACATTCAGTCACAAATCCAAGCTCTTTTATCTCGAAAATCTGGTACGTCGCACGATCAGACGGCGTTGGCGAAATTGTACCAAGAGCAAGCAAAGATATTAGCCAGTGGGAAAGTCGTTAGCACTACTACACATTCTGTCAATAGCGTAAGTAAATTTGTAGCAACAGAAAATAATCGCCAAGATATACGAAATATTTTTTAATATTTGTTACTCCAACGAAATATTTCTTTTTCCACATAGACGACCGAAACGACGTTCAGTGTAAACGTAGTTTCAACAGTTGCGTCGAGTATACATTCGCAAAATTCATTCAAGAACCAGACATCAGCGGCGCAAACACAGACACAAACTTCCACCGCTGCTATGCCAGTAACATCTCAAACTCTAAGTTCAACTACAACAATGCCAAGTAGCTCGAATAGTAGTTTCATTAATAATATTACGGTAAGCGGAGAGTTGTTGGAAATATTCACTTACAAGACTGCACTTATTTTATGCATAGAAACAATTGTTGGATGTGTCATAATGTTATATTTTATAACGACGATTAATTACAGGTGCCGCAAAGTATACAAGGGCAACAATCGAGTATATCGAATACTTGTGTGACACAGAGTGTGCACCAGACGCACGTCAAACAGCATAAGTTTTATCAGAACCACGGGACTCAGATGTTGAATCCGTCCTCTGCGAACATGCAAATCTTCTCGCCGCCTATTACCTCCGTAGCAACTTCACAGTTACAGAGCAGCGCACAACAATTGACCCAATTGCAAACGCAGCAATCAGGCATACAGTGTCAACAACAATCGACGCAGTGTCAGACAGACCCGTTGGATTTCAAACCGAATATACAGACACCGAGCCCTGTGAAACAAGAGCTCTCGTCCCCTATTCAAGTGCAAGTTCAAAGCGGCTCGCCTGCGAGTCAGGTGACCTCGCCTAGAATGATAAACAAGGGAACGCAGAGGATTCAGAGCCCTGTAAATACCAACGGGAATACGATGAAGCAACTCGTCAGTCCTAATAGCAACTCCAATCCTTTGATAAGTCCGAGGCAAGGCGTAAAAAGGCGTGCGATTAGCCCGATTTGCAGGCAGGTCAACCGCAGTGATGTGTACGTATTTAAATATAAATTTCTGTTACATTTAATCATCATTTTTCGAGATTTAATGATACTGACATGTAATTATGTCATTGCTTGCAGAGTGGAACAGCAACTAAAAACCGATCAAAATGGCGCAACCAATCCAGATATGAATACACCATTCTCAGGCAAGCGTGATGCTTGCAAACGTTTGGTACGATATCATTGTTTAAATGAGCAAGTACTAGGACCCAAGGATCTGACAAAAGCGGACGAAATATTTGAAGAGACAGCGAAACATCTATTGAACAAGTTCAGCTCTATGATAAATAAATACACGTATCTTCTCCTAATGGAAAGCATGGTATGAATAATATGATACACTTATCTGATAATTAGATACATTAAGTTGAATTTTTAATAAAATTGATACTTGGTTAACTTTAAATTATAGAAAACTGTATCCTATATTCCAAATTTTCTTTTTTTATTTGATAAATCAGTCTCACACATAAGTGATTAACGTTACTATTGCATTAACAAATTTACAGCGTGAAGTGAGGACGTCAGAATTGATGATGATTGATAGGTCTTTTGTATCTGAAGAGCAAAATATTCTCCAGAGGTTAAAGGAACAGGAGGCAAAACTTAACGGTAACTGCGCATGTTATCAATTATTTCTAATCGATATAATTGCTAATACAATATGTATGCATTTATATTGTTTTTTTGGAATCACGAGATTTTTAATTAAAAAAAATATATACATATATATTTTTTTTATCACTTTATATATTTACCTTCTATATTGCAAATGATTTTACAGCGGAGTTTAAGAAGGAAGAAAAACCGTTGGTGCCAAAAGTTGAACCTGGCCTTGTGGAAGAGAACAAGTCAACCTTAACAGCATCGTCACCTTTGGTGAATGTATCTGTAAAACGCGAATTGGAAGATGATTTCCCAAGTGACGAAATGGAATGCAAACCAGTGATCAAGACGACGAGTAGTACAAGTGGTGATTACGACGAGTGGTTGGAGATTCAGAAGGCACTGGGTGTATATCCGTCTACCGCAGACACTTTGAAGTGTAAAAACGGCAATAACAGTGGTAGTGGTGCGTGTGCTGTTGCGAGATCATCGAAAATTGAAAGAACACGAGCAAACGGCGAGTGTCTTCGTGCAAATGTTGCAAATACAAATTTGCCCGGTGTCTCGAACGCGATTATGAAGGACGATTGCGAGCAGGATGTAAATACGTCCTTCGACAGGCGTTGGAGTAGTGCCACTGATCTTGAACGGGATTTGTCAGAGGATACCGACTTGGATGAATTGGCTTTGCACTCCCAGACGCAATGTCCAAGCAGTACTGCCCACGTGACGAGTAGCGAAAGCGGTAACACCGGTAACGAGCACGATGAGATCAACGCGCAAGTACAGTCCGCCATCGACAGCATTCTTAATCTTAAGCAACGTCCTACGAACACCCTAACAGGCAGCAGTAGCGGTAGTTCGTCATCGCAGTCCGGCGACTCGAAAGACACTGCGTTGGACCAAGCAGTCCGCAGCATCTTAGGCTCGTGACCCTCCTTTAGTAAAGTATGTTAAGAAGTGAAAGTTGATAGTTGAATCAAGCTAATTATGCATCTTAAGAGTTTTAGAACAACTGTAAGTCGATTTTTCATGATTTTTGTGGATATCGTTGAGATCTACCTATCATGGGAAACTGTGTTTTAGTATTGATAAACGTGTCGAGCAGACTGTTTCCGATACTGCATATCTTGAAGCACACAGATATAATTACTAAATTATTTGTATAAATCATATGTGACCTTATTGTTTTATTTATACGTTATTCAGCAGAGACAAGCTGGATCGCGCATACATGTTTCACTGAGCATTTTGATTTATCAAATATTCTGTTCTACAATGGCAATAATTATTCATAATATACAAACATGTATACTTTCCAGTAGTCTAGCTGTAATAAAGCCACCGCGTAAATCTAATTCTAGCAGCTGTAAATGTGAATAGATTAGATAGATAACTCGCTCAGATTTTTCAATATGCCACTTTGTAATGTAATTTTGTAAAAAGTAATTATTTAAAGCAACTTATTCCACTTCATCCGTAGTACTTGTAGGAGAATCTTATTGATACTTAAAAAAATGGGTCGGTGAATATTGTACATACGTTTTTAAGGTATATTAATATTATTATATTACGACTATTATTTGCATTATTGTTATTGAGATTTATTCTCAGAATTATTATTATTATTATATTACCGTCATTATGATTAATACCATCATCATTGGAATCGACACTGAATATGTGAGAAAGGCAAAGAGAAAGTAATTATATAACAGACTGATATGTAAAATCGTGGAAATGCAAAATGTAAATTAATACAAGGTGACTTGTTATTGGCGATACAATCGAAAAGGTGATAATCGATCCCATATGAAAAGAAAAATCATGAATGTTGAATGGAATTGTTCTTACAAGACTTTATATTTTCAGAAATAGTTCTCCGATGAAAATTGTAGAATAAAAATACTTCTCCTTCGTAAGTTTCTTCCTAAATTCGTTGTACCGTCAATAACAGATCATCTAGTACAAGGAGAAGAAAGGGAATAACATTTATACGTGTTATTTTGGATTCATTTCTATATGCAGTCTTAGTGTTAAGACGCAAAATCAAAGAGACAAACTGTTTCTAAATAATGTATAGGGTTTTACGACTTTCCTTTTTGTTTAGCATCACATATGGATTCACACTAGGTATGTGGGTAATCGATGTATATTGGAGAGTGCATGTGTGGAAAAAGGATAATCACATAATAATCGTTGGATCAATTTGAAAATGTCTCTGTAATTATCGAAATTGATCGGCATACATTCCTATGGTCAATGTGTGGTTTTATTTTTAATCTTAAATGCGCGATGCTTTACGCAAAATGTTCTAATTAAAATTAAAAAGAAAACAATTGATCTCTAGAATTCCTTTTCTGCTTTTAACACACTGACGTTCGTAAAAGTGCAGTGATGGCACGAAGTGATGATGACGTCTCTCTCTCTCTCTCTCTCGCGAGGTGAAAAGTTTTATTATGTGAACTCTGATCGTGTATTCTTTTTCTACATATAAATCTAAAAACGACTCTCTGGAGACATCGGAAGCGATGCGTATTCTGGCAAAAGCAATCCAAGACTGACGTATATACAGAGAAAAAAAAAGCAAGCAAAACTATGTAATGTATTACAGTAAGGAGTAATAATCGTTTGTACATACATAATGTTCAATTACACTCTCGACGGCAATCGCGACTTAATGAATTCCTCACGGATTTTCTGGAGCTTCGGAACACATTCAAGTTCTTTCGATCCTAAATAAATCACCGATATTTCACGAGTATGTATGTACACCAATCCTGCGTCCCCGTCTGCTGATTTCGGATCGTGTGTTTCGCGGAGTTTGTAATTATCGCGCGTTAAAACAACGAGATGTATAACGATATACAGCCGCTGACGAGAGTGAAGACAAATGGTACAGTGATAATATATTATAAATATAATTTAAAGAACGTCTTATTTTTCAGTCGTTTTATCAGTACACCCAGGAAAAAAAAAAGGTATCATTATTTGTAACATAGCTATATGTGTCGCAGAATTATACAACCTTGTATACAATCCAACTTGATTTCTTTTACGATGTGCTACTTAATTGAAATTATTTTTACGTAATGTAGACGAGCAGGAATAGTAATAACGAGTTTCGACGCGAGCGTGATGTATGAAATAGGGGTCTCCGATCTTCTTTTGTTAAGAGAGTCAAATATTTAAATCTTTGTAATGTCCAGGGAACCGGATAAGTTTTTATTCTTGAAAATTGTAAAAATAATATGTCTTTATTTTTTAAATTCTTTTATATTAAGTTTTATAAAAGTCTGACGCAGCGACGACCGAATCGTAAAAAAACCAAAGGCGCAACAATATATAGATAATAATTATTATATATTA